AGAATTTGAAAGAATATGGCTTAATCCTATTTATATATTATGCGTAGGTTACAATCAATGGAAGATACGAGAATAAAGAAAAATAAGTAGGAAAAACGACTCAATTACATCAAAGCAAAGTTTGGGGACTAGAATGCAATAATTCAAAAGTTGAGTTGGACCAAAGAACGATGAGTTGAGAACACTAAGAGTCAATTAGAGTTGAAGAGAAGCTAATGTGACAAGAAATTTTGGGAAAGGACCAAAACACATACTTCAAAAAGTTTAGGGACCAAATTGCAAATTGGCCCCTAAAATAGTTGAACTGTGCGTACGCATAGGTTTACAGGTCGTACATACGCACGATTGAAAAAATTAACTTCCGAAGTTAAATTGATGATACTATGCGTACGCACAAAAATGTACCATGCATACGCATGGTTCAATTCCGACAAAAAAATTCTGTTTCCTTTTTGTTTTGAAAAGTCTTGGTTTACAATTCTTTGCATAATATTTATACCAAAAGTTGACAAAAACACGGGGAACCTAATTTTTATCATCTTGGAAGCCGACAAAGAGAAAGAGGAAGAGGAGAGCGGGATATACATTGAAGAACAAGACTTCATCACTTGGATCCGAAATTGAAGGCATAAAGTGGAGGATTTCAGATTCTTTTCTTACTTTAATGATTCGGGTGATGTCGTTCTTTTATTTTTCCTGTTTTTCCTACATTAATATGCTAGGCTAGATATCTTTGTATTGAATGGATGACAAAACTGATTGACTCTTAATTTTTTATTCAAGACTTTATATTTTTGTTTTAATTCTTGTGTTGTGGTTTCTTTAATATGCATACCTATATTATTTTAATGTTTGCGCACCATTAGGACAATAAGTTGTTTATTCACAGTGTTGAAAAACTCACGGTAGGTAGAACACTGTTATTTGAACGCATGGACAATGAATGTTAGGAATAATATTTGTGATGTGTGCGATCATGTGTGATAATCCTATACATCAATGCGTGTTTGTCATATGAATTCGGACTAGAAATATGATCGTTTTGTGGTAGTCATAGGATTATTATATCTTGGGAAAGAATAATAAATAATAGTGGAATTATCATAGGTTGAGATAATTGTCATAGGTTGAGAATTAGAACTAAGAGTTGATCAGTGGCGTAGGAAATCCAATACATTCACTCACTTAAATTCTAAAACAAATTCTCATAAATTTTGCAAATTTTTAGTTATAGAACTTAATTAACTATTCAAACAAACGTCAACTTTTATTAATCACACGAATTTAATTATATCGAATAGACTGGAATTAGACCCTATTCCCTGTGGGACGATAACTCTTTCATCACAATTATTACTTGTGCAATGAACCCGTACGCTTGCGGGATTTCAACAAACATGGGAGAGCCAGAAAGTTATCAGGAGGTTCTGCTACATGATCAGAAAAATGAGTGGTTAAAAGCTATGCAAGAAGAGATGAAATCTTTGCATAAGAACAACACCTATGATCTGGTAGAGTTGCCTAAGGGCAAGAGAGCACTGAAGAACAAATGAGTGCTTAGACTAAAAGCTGAATCACATAGCTTGTAGCCAAGATACAAGGCAAGGTTGGTTGTGAAGGGGTTTGGTCAGAAGAAATGTATTGATTTTGAAGAAATCTTTTCACCTGTAGTTAAAATGTCTTCAATCGGAGTTGTGTTAGGATTGACAGCCAGTATGAATATAGAGATTGAACAACTTGATGTGAAGACGGCTTTCCTCCATGGTGACCTTGGAGAGGAAATATACATGGAGCAGCCAAAAGGATTTACAGCTAAAGGTAAAGAAAATCTTGTATGTCGGTTGAAGAAAAACTTGTATGGTCTCAAGCAGGCACCGAGACAATGGTACAAGAAATTTGATTTCTTCATGGTTGAGCATGGGTACACCAGAACAACTTCTGATCATTGCGTATTTATAAAGAAATTCTCTGATGGGGAATTTATTATTCTCTTGCTCTATGTGGACGACATGTTGATTGCAAATCATGACACAGAAAAAATTAAGAAGTTGAAAAAGGAGTTGAGCAAGTCCTTTGAAATGAAGGATTTGGGACCTGCAAATCAAATCCTCGGTATGAAAATCTCTCATGACAGAAAGAATGGAAAATTATGGCTATCAGAGGAAAGTTACATCGAGAAGGTATTACACTGGACAAGGCAACACCAGTTAGCTCTCCACTTGCAAGTCATTTGAAATTGAGTTCAAAACAAAGTCCTTCAAGTGAGAATGAAAATGAAGAAATGAAGAATATACCTTATGCATCAGCTGTGGGTAGCTCGATATATGTTATGGTATGCACAAGGTCAGACATTGCTCATTCTGTTGGAGTTGTCAGTAGATTCCTTTCTAATCCTGGAAAAGAACTCCGGGTAGCAGTGAAGTGGATTCTCAGGTATCTCAGAGGGAGTTCTAAGATGCGTTTATCTTTTGGCACCAGCAAACCTGAGCTTGTTTGGTTCACAGATGCAGATATGGCTGGTGATGTAGACTCTAGAAAGTCTACCTCTTGGTATTTGATCACTTTTTTAGGGGGAGCAGTTTCATGGCAGTCTAGACTACAAAAATGTGTTACTCTATCTACCATAGAGGCTGAGTACATAGCCATCACTGAAGCTAGCAAGGAGTTGTTATGGATGAAGAAGTTCTTACAATAACTGGACCTAGAGCAAGAGAAGTATATACTTTATTGCGACAATCAGAGTGCTATCCATCTCAGTAAGAATCCAACTTTTCACTCAAGATCCAAACATATTGAAGTGAGGTATCATTGGATTCGAGATGAACTGGAGATGAAGAAGTTACAGCTTGAGAAAATCCATACTGATGAGAATGGTTCAAATATGATGACAAAGTCATTGCCTATGGAGAAACTACAAGTATGTAGAAGTGAAGCAGGCTTGGTGGAGTCCCTCTCGTAGTCGAGAGGGAGAGATTTGTTGGGTTTTCCCTCTACTTTGAAGGACTTGCCCATTTAGTAGCCCACTAAAGCCCAAACCAATTAAACTCATTTGATGGCCCCAAAAACAATACAAAAACTGATCCATACATACATACAACAGAAAAAAATGGGATTCATTATTTTAAAATAGGCAGCCTCAGTTTTCTTGAAAAACAGAGAGTTACGAGAGAGAGAGAGAGAGAGAGAGAGTTCGGCATTTCAGCTTCTTCTTGCCAAAGGATGGAGGCTCGTTTGTGGTCCGATTTAGCTGAAATTTCAGTATGTTATTCTTGGCAAAGATAGTTACATTTTGATCGGAGTTGATCGTCCAGATTCCTCTCCATTTCTCTGGGCTCTACACACTAGTTTAGTGAGATTTTCTCCTTATTGTGTGTGTGTATCTAATTTAGTATGATGTTGTTGTTGATATCCAAGAATATATATGTGTTCTTGATGTATTGGTAGCCTCTAGAGTTTGCTTTGGAGAAGGTTAATTGTGTATCCCATTATTTTATAGTGGAAGGCTTTTACTGAACTAGTTCCCGGGGTTTTTCCTTTACGCCGAAGGGTTTCCCTAGTGAACAAATCTTTGTGTTCTTATCGTTCAATTTCCGCTAGTGTGTGTGAGTTAATATTTGGAGCCGAGGTTATTATTTTACGGCCATTTTTATTCTGCATAATGGGGATTGTGAAATTGTTTTCGCTGCTTGGTTTATCATTATTGGTTGTTGAAATCTATGGACTGTGGAGTGATTGTGTTGGAATTATTAATCAAAACAAGTGGTATCATCAGAGCAGCTAGTTCTGGGTGTGGACACTTGAGCCAAAATAGTAGAGGAACACCTCAAAAAAACTGGACGAGGAAGTTGAAAATCTGGGTGAAACGATCACCTTTCCCTTAAGCCAGCTATTGAAGACTATCTTTCATATCTATCATACAACATTATTTTTCTCAATACACGAGTAAATAATTCGTAGATTTTGCACTTCCTATGAAAATATAGTAAACTTCCTTTCTTAGAGGAGAACCACCTAAAGATGAATTGATAGTTTCTGTTTTTATTAAACAAAATAAGTGGACATGATAGGATAATCTAATTTTTTTTTAAAATAATAATAATAAAAAATTGTTTTTTTCTTTTCCTTCCACCAATGCTCTTCGGTCCTATCCAATGCCCCCTACAAAACATGCCTAAAGGGTAAAGGAATAGGTTTTTACTTGTCCAGCTCTGATTTTCTGAAATCAATCAGTTCTATTAAATTCATGTTCTGGACTAGCAATGTATGATCCTACAAAAATACACGATATTATTGCAAAGTCATATAGAGAGAATCTTTCACTTCTAAAAAAAATACAAGTGAATGTATTCATATTCCAGTGGATGTTAAAAACTTAAGCTTAAGCAATACATGAGACCATCGAACAAATACGAGGCAACATCCAGTTTGAAACTTCATGTTAGAAACTTTCAAGTATGTGCTGCTGATGAGAATAGGGCATAGCAAAAATCTTCATCAGAAATACTACAATAATTTTACCACTAATTTCATTATCATCAACAACACAACGATATTATTCTTCTACAACCTATCATATACTATATGATTTTGCAATGTCCATATTCAAAAGCAATAAAGCACAAAACAGATAATATATTATTAATCAACACATAGGATTATCAAATCTGAAATCCTTTCTAACCTACACCTTGAAGTCTAAAGCCAACAGTCCAAATCTTGTTATCCCAGTTCTAAGTGAATGTACAGCTTTTGCTCAATCAAAAAGGCCAACAAAGCTGAATAAGAAATCCCCAAAAAGAAATAAATAGCAATCCAAAAATATAAGCAATTATTCGCGTAATTAATTAACGTAAAGGAGAAGCATTCACGACCCAGCAACATACGTAGTAATTGCACAATGAAGTTTTTAGTTCAGTATTAATCAATTAGCGATAACTAATAACAACAAGTGTGAACTCTCTCTCTCCCCCCCCCCCCCCCCCCCCCCCCTCCCCCTTTTTCCCCCCCCCATACGTGCTTATCTGAGATCCGACGTCCAGCCCACAAGACCAAATCAATCCTGGGCCTTCAACTTCTCGACACGCTTATTCAACAGGTCGATCTTGACAACAAGCCCGGTAACCGCATATAGAAGCCAGTAGAAAATGAGAGCGCAGGCAATGAGAAGGGCATTCCGCTGGGACTTCATGATGGATTTCTGGTGACGAAGGTGTTCAGAAGGGGAGCAGGATTCGGATTCACAGGTGGGTCGGGTCTCGTACTTCCAGTAAATATCCATTAACAGGAACAGGCAGAAGGGTACGATGGAGAGGAATGGCTTTAAGAGGTTGCGGGTTACGGTGATCAATCCCTTACGGAGCGGGTTCAGACCCGGGAGAGTCAGGAGGAGGAGCGTGATGGCCTCTGCTCCAGCGGCGTAGCCTAGCACCACCCATTCCAAAGCCATTGATGATTGATTGATTCAGCGCTTCAATTTTGATCGAATTGAGAAAAAGGATTTTCAAGAAAGTTTGATTCCGAGGTTGGATCCTGCCGTGAAATAAATAAACAAGTAAAGTGGAGTGGGTTATGGTTAAGAAAGGAATATTATTAATTAAAGGAATATGCTATTTATAGCGTAATATTATCGAGACGATTAGTGTAGTTTCTACATTTATTTAAGATCTTAAAGGATGATATTTTGTCATTTTTTGAACGGATTAGTACTTAATTTGTTATTTATTACTTTTATTAGGAAAAGTTCAAATTCCAAAGAAGAATTGAAAGAAATGGAAAATGGCTAAAATGAAGCAAATTCAAAGTATGCGGACCAAAGTGTAAATATTCAATGGTTGATTTGGACCACAAAATATACTTGAAGATTGATAGGAGTCAATTGAATACAATTAAAGTAAAAAAGGAAATGGATATGATCAGAATATTATCCTAAATCGGCTTTCAATCACATAAGATATTTTCCAGATTTTTGGTCAATTTGAGATTCATTTTTTGGATAGAAAAATTTCAAATTGGAAAAATTGTGTTTCTAGAAGAATTGTAGCTCTTTGAATTAGTTTTCCAATGCACTTTGAACTACCTCAATCGGATATCGGAATAGAAAGTTATGACTAAAATATTGAAAGTTGTGTAGATACAAAATCATGCGCGTATGAGGTCAACTTTCCTTATTTGATTAAAACTCTTTTGGAAGGCAATTTGGATGTGAATTTTAACCTAATTTTATCATATAAATACAAGATATATGGGTAGCAATTAAAGTGCCTTTCTTCCCTCTTCATACACAATAATTTAATCAAATTCATCAAAAACAATGAGCCAATTACTATATTTTGAGAGAAGAGATCAAATCATAGCAAGATATTGAAGTTCAATTATATCAAAATTTTGAAGAATTCAACTTTGGACTTGAAGATCAACATCTTTTGTATTCTTTTATGATTCGGGTGATATTTTTTCAATTATTCTTCTTATAATTTATATATTAATATGCTAGACTAATTTTTCATTTTATTGAATGAATGATGAACCCTATTATTTGTTTATTTTAATTTAAGACAATTATTTTAGCATTTCATGATTTTTTTGATTGGTTTTGTATTCTCATTGAACTATTTAATTGCTTGATCACCAATTAGATAGTAAGTTGCTTGTTATAGTGTAGGAATATTCACAATAAGTCTAGAACGTGGTAAAATCAACACATGGACAAAAGGATTAGGAATAATATATATAGCATGTGCAATCATGTGTGATAAATCCAGTTAATCAATGCATATTTTTCATATAAATTCGGATTAGGAATATAATCGGGTTGTATTAACATAGATTTAATATATTTTGGGAAAGAATATTGAACAAAAGTGGATTATTGATTGTTTTGAATGCGTGAATTTACTAAATTATGAATTAAAATTTGAATTATATTGCAATATGAGAATTCACGATTCCAATACAAACATTCACATATTAAATATATAGTTTATCTGCTTTGTTAATTTAGGACTAGTATAAAAAATATTTTATATTATTTCGAATTTAATAAAAACTACTAAACTCTAATATTAGACATTATTTTTCGGGGGAACGTTACTCTTAATTCACAAAAACTTATTGGTAGAAGCGTTTTTTGAATACGTATTGTATATTGAAATACATTACATTTAGTATTTTGACAACTTATATTTACTATATTTTGACATGTCAATCGTGGTATTCTAAGACTCTTTTCGAGCCTTATATTTGAATAAAAAATATGATAATTTTTAAATTTTAGAGAGAAGACAATATAATTGATACTCAAAATTTGGGGTAAAAGGAAGTGAGATAAGAAGATGAGGAATCTTTGTAATGTTTTGAAATTTTTTGGGTTATAATAGTTTTGATTTTGATTTTGATTGGATGAGGTACTATGATATGAGAAAATTTGGATGATTCCACGTTAATTTGAGAATTTTGGATGATAAATTTGGTGTATTTGATTTGGCATGTTTGGAGAAGTGATATAAGCTAGCTAACTAATTAATTGTAGGAGCGATGTTGTTTATAACATTTCACTTTTACTTACTAAAATACGGTATTTATAGGATAATAAATGTGAAAATGTAAAATTTGAACTTGTAGATAAAATGGGGTAAGACATGTAATTTCCACTCTTCATTTTTATTGTAATTTAAGTGGTCTAATTTGAATTGGGCCCAAACCAAACCGAACAATTCAATTCGAACTTACCCAAAAATTGATTAGTTGGTTTGATTTTAAAGAAAATTACTCAGAAACCTTTTCAAGATTTCATTTCAATAATTAGTTACAAAGATTTTTCTTTCAAAAAGCAGGCACACCCAACCCCACACCAAAAAAAATTGTGACCATCTACTCTAACTCGCTAATCTCTCTCTATCTACAGATTTGGCTGCCTAATCTCTCTCTCTCTCTCTCTCTCTCTCTCTCTCTCTCTCTCTCTCAATTCATTCGTCTTGATCACTACCAGCTCCGACCACCATCATCATCGCCAACCCTATTTGCATTGGTTCACAACATCCCACCCAACACCGGTAAATATCTTTCTTCCAAATCACTTTCTACCACCCTAGCTACAAAGAAACTTAATGGTGGTGGGTTTCACGGTGTATTGGTGGTGGTGTGGTGAATGTCGTGGCACGCTAATGGATGTGTGGTGGTGGATTCCAATATACAGACCTAGGTGGTGGTGGTGCGGTGGTGGTGGTGAAGTGGCAATGACATTTTGGTATAGATTTGCGTGGTAATGGTGCGGTGAATATATAGATTTGCATGGTGATAGTGGTGGTAAGGTGGCAAATGCGTTTGAGTGGTGCCGGGGGAGGGTGCAATTATGATCAATTTGGATAATTGTATCAATAAAATAAGTAATTTGATATCAAAAAATGATATGTAACCTAATAAAAACTATGATTTGCGATTAAATTTGTAGTTGTGACTTATAATTTGTGACTTAATAACTTTGATTATCAATTTTGTGTTATTGTGATGTTGACCTATTTAATTAATTAATAAGGCATAAAACTTGTGATCATCTAATTTTTGAAAAAATTCCACAAGTTTTGAGTTGGTTCAAAAATCGTACTAATCCAATCCACTTCATTTCCGTAAAGGAGAACGAAACAGGAACCATTACCACAATAAACTTCGCGCAACAAAGAGTATATTTATGGCAAAATAGAAGCATTAAGAGTAGTAATCTGATTTTAGGCTCTGCACAACCCAGAGTGAATCACATTCCACAGTCTATAAATCAGGCCTGAGATTCCCGGTTATAATTAAACCATCGCGCTCTGTAATGATCTCAACTTTTTCAGCACTAAGTTTTCCCACCATCCTTTTCGCCTGCGCTGCAATCACCACCCTTCGGTCATCACGAATGACAAGCGACAACACTTGTAGTGTAGAAGCCCGTGTCACCCTGAGAGATATTTTCGAAATTTAAAGCATGTTCGGCAAGTGTTTATAAACAATTTAAATCATAAATATATAGAAACGAGTTTTGAATGGATGGATAGTACAAGTGAGTCCCTCGAAATGTGTGGATAAAAAGTAACTCGAGTGTTTATAAATAGTTTATAAACACGAGCCTAACATAAAAACAAACCACGACTCTATCCTGGCCTTGATGTGTTTCATTAACTTTACAACTTTCATTTATTTCTCATTGTTATCCAAATGTGGCCCTAAAAGATGCTTGCCTAAAGTTGTTGGATACCTCTATAATGTTTCAAACCTTTTCTGGTATTTTATTTTGAAGCATCCTTTTTTTGGATTCCTTCGCCTTTAAGCATTATGTAAAGCTAGGGATATGAGTGAAAGAATATGCAGAATGATTCTTCCACATACATCTACACTACTTTTGCTAAAAGCTTCCAGCATGCATGGATAATCCACTACTATTCCAGCATCGATCATAGAGAAGTTAAAAGAAAAATAGTTCCTTCATGACTCGTAGCATATCCTTGGAGGTATTGGCTTTCATTCAAGGAAAAAGCTGTTCAAACAGGGCCAAGTTGGCTCTATTCATCTAGCACGGTTGTTCATTCAATTATATTTATGCTGACACTATTTATATTCATATTATTTTGTGATTATCATGGGCATTGAACAATTTATTATGTTCCTGTTCTCGAATGAGCTGTTATAAACATATATTTTAGTTAATCTGAAATAAAACTTGTGTTGCTAGCTAGTAGCTATAAAAAGTATAAAGGCTTGTTTGATGTAGATTGTTTAAGAATAAATTTCGTGACAACTGATACTTTGAAGATTGCGTGGTTCAAAAGTAAGGAAACCTTACGAAATTATGTGTTTAGTGCCTATTAGGACGATAATTTCTAGATATAGCTCGATGAGATACTAACCTGATCTTCGATGTGTGGAAATTGCATATTCAGTTATTGACATGCATGGCGATGCGATACTAATGAAATGTGTAATATTCTTAGGTTGCCTACTTTGAAGAGGATAACTCCAAAGGCTACGAGGGGTCAACAAAGTATCTAACTAAACTCAAGTTCACGTCAAACATAAAGAGGCTACATGAGATATAGTGCTTATTAATTCGGACTATATTTTGGGTGTCGATATTTTTGGAATATTGAGTGATCAAATTATTAAGAAAGTAATAATCACGATGGAATTTTCTAATTTTCTATCATTAGCTTGCATATACGTTATATCTTGTTAGATGGATTGTACTATATACATATGTATGTATGCGTATTGAATGTTCGAAACACGAATATGTAACAGAAGAAATGCATCATAGGAATATTATAAATGCACTCCTTTACAAAAAGAATCGACCATTTTTCCACATTAGCCAAAACAACTTTTGTTAAGTGGAGATGGGTGGAATCTTACTCTCCTTTTTTCCCTTCTCTTTTTTAGGTTTTGTATTGGAGTCCATGCTCCTATTTCACATCTTTTTTTAGAGAGTATCCTTTTTGATACAAATTCCAAATAATATTTTGCAGAAAAGATAAACAAAGATAGAAAGGCAAGTTGATGTCCACCATGAAAACATGGCAAGTCAAAAGGGTTATCAAAAGTTGCAAATCCTAGCTAGCTACAAATCGAACTGGGACACGAATTTTTCTTGAAACTTTTGTCATTCATTTACCTGCAAAAAGCAAAAGTGTCAAATTAATTATTTAATCAATTATTATTACTATGTTACTTAATTAATTAAGAGGAAGACAAACAAAAGTAAGTTTGTATCTAATTACCATTTCCCCAAAAGAGCCTTCTCATGAACACCAAGAAAACGATGAATAAAGTAATCCCAGCTAATAATCCAATTATTATAGCAAATGTCTTCTCCGATTCGTTGTCTGACGAATCTGTAAAGAAAGAAAGGCGCTAATGAAAATCATCCATTGGTATATTCGATGCTGAACATATATATACTGAATATATAAAATTATAAAAGAAAAAAAAAAAGCCCAATCTTGTCTTATCAAACGTCGAATCCTATAGAATTTCAAAGGGCAAGTCTTATTATGCCTAGAAGCACCCATTGTTTTTGATAAAGCTAATTTATATGAATAGCACTTCACGTACATAAACTTTTCTCACTAGACTTGCACAGAAAAGACACAAAAGCAAGAGGGGTGGGTGATTTTTCTAAATTCTTTTATCATCACATGGGCTCACACAATGTGAGATTTCTAGCCGATTTCTATGAAACAGTGTTCTACATGTAGAATTTTGAATTTATATATGGTACATATTGGCCAATATGTTTGGAACCTTAGCATTGAAAATACAAGGATGACAAAAACTCATAAATAGTCTCAAAGTAAATTATTAAAAAAAAAAAAAAAAAAAAAAAAAAAAAAAAAAAAAAAAAAAAAAAAAAAAAAAAAAAAAAAAAAAAAAAACCAAATTAATTAGTTCATTCTTCTTGTATTTTATTCCCTGGCCTACCTTCCACCAAAGGTCTAAATGCATAATAATATTAACATAAATATAAGTGCTTTTAATTCAAGAATGGCTAACGTACCATGGTTGGATCTTGCATAAACATGAGCTCCACTGGTTGAGTACCTAGCATAGCACTTGGCCAAGAACATGTCCCCAAAAACAGCGCCACCGCACTCACCTTTCAGCCGCCTAATCGCCTCCGTCAAACAATCTTGACACTGGCCCATACTCAAATCCCCCACGCACTGCGCCACACCCTGAACATCCTCAGAGCCACCCACCCTGTAGGCCCCACCGCCACCATTCAAGCCTGATAACACCGCATCACGGCGGCTCATTTCGTCGTTGTTGAAACCATCAGACGGTCCACATTTCTTCTTCACAGCAGTCTTGTCCTCCACTCCTATGAATGTAGCATTGTCATATTTCACAAAGCACCCTTCTAACTGTATGGCTCCGCCGCATGTTTGTGAGCACAATGGGCCGAGTTGAGTCACTGCTTGAGCCACGCAGGTGGCGCAATCAGGCATGGCTAAGTCGCCCCGGCATTGGTACAGACCGTATACTACGTCTTGTGGGCTTGACCCCATGACTGTGTACTTGTTGTAGGAAGAGTAAGTGGCTGAGTTCACTAGGGAAGTGAGGAGTGAGTTAAGGTTCGACTCGTATGGCGAGTCTGGTGCATACTTTATCTGTGAGCAGCCGCCATAGACGAAAGAGTTCAAGGAGGTGGAATGTGCAGGCATGAAGAAACTGGAGAAAAAATTAAGGATCGTTAGGATTTCAAGAACGTGATGAACTGTTTTTGCCATTTTGTGAGAGAGAGATGTTATGGGATATGCAAATCAACGTCGATCGGCAGTTGTATCCGTCAATCTAAGAACGTTTGTATGCTCTTTGTGATATCTGTTAGTGCCAATAGAATGGCTGCGGAAACGAGTATTTAAATAGAAAATTGTCCTTTTAAATAAAATCATTTAAATGTAAATTTAGATTTGCAAACCTTTTCCCTGGAAAAGAAATGGGGGACCAGCTTTTTCCTTAGCCCTAAATATTTCTTTTTCTTAAGTTGTATTTGTTGAACTCGCGAATTGGACCTCCCACGTGACCAACCAATAGCTACTCCACGTGATCCTCTTTGTGCATACTCAACGCACGGTCAGACGCACACGGCTAGAACCACCATGGGTGGTGGCGGCCGCATACACTCTGACGATCAATTTAGTATCCGGTGATCGAAACAGTGCTCGGGTTGTACAAGAGAGTGGGGAGGAGAATGTATATTTTTTTGTTATGGAGAGCTAAGTTGTAAGAGTTTCATTACCTTGCCTCTTATCAAACCTTGGGTATTTATAGGTAAGGAGAACCGTTGAATGTGAGACACGTGTATCTGACGGTGTGAAGCGTCTGCTCATAGGCGTCAATCAGTTGCGTCTATAGAGTGGGCGGGTAAGAACTTCTCCTGAGTTGAGTTGACATAAAGTTGATACGTCACATCAACTAGACCCATGGAGACGTCAAATTAATTAAGCCTTGAGGGCAGAGAGGATCTCGACACAGATCTTTTTCTGAAAGTGGTGGCGGATCCGCTGAAGGAGAACCTTGGAGTGCATTGCACTTCGGCGTCAAGGACACTTCGGTTGGTTCAGTAGAATTGTTTTGTGCATCGCAACGCATTAGCAGTGTGCGGACATTGGTGGTGAAGTCATTTCGGAACCACTTCGGATTGGTGGTGGACACCTCGTATGATGCAGTGGTAGACTTTCCGAAATGGTTTAGATAGGGGCGTAACGGTGGTCCCCCTAAGTTTAGGCATGAATATTTATATCATGGGTTTACTTATTTTCCAGATCAAGTATGCCTGCCTTGGTTTGTGATAGAGAATTGGCGTGGAAGGGCGACGTGTGTGGATGGCCCGAAAGCTTGTGGATCGATTTTTTGTGTTCATCGAAGAGATGTGGGTAGGTACTCATCTTTTCCCGAGGCTCTGGCCTTAGGGGACGGCACGCCCAAAGCCTTGTGAAGCTTAGGATCTGGATACATCTCTGATTGAGGTGCTGACCTACAGAGACGACGCGTGGGAAATGCTGAAGCTTGTGAAATTGAAGGTCGAGACACATCTTCGACTGAGGCGCTAAAGCTTCAATGCTGCCTAAGGAAGGAGCTCATTCGTCCCCGATGTGCTGACCCACAGGGATGATGGGTCGGGAGACAGCTAAACCTTTGTAAGCTTAGGAGGGAATGCATCCACTGAGGTGATGACACACAGGGGACTCCGCGTCAGGAGCGTCTAAGTTTTGTAAGCTAAGTGGGGAGCCCATCTGCCACCGGTGTGCTGACCCATAGGAAACGACGCATTGGGAGATGGCTAAAGCTTTGTAAAACTTAGGAGGGAACGCAGCCACCGAGGCGATGTCCCATAGGGGACTTCGCGTCAGGTGCATCTAAGCTTTGTACAACTGAGTGAGGAGCTCATCTACGATTGATGTGGGATATGGCTATAGCTTTGTAAAGCTTAGGAGGGAACGCAGCTACCGAGGCGATAACCCATAGGGGACTCCGCGTCAGGTGTGTCTAAACTTTACAAAGTTGAGTGAGGAGCTCATTTACGACCAATGCGGGAGATAGCTAAAGCTTTGTAAAGCGTAGGAGGGAACGCAGCTACTGAGGTGATGACCCATAGGGGACTTCACGTCAGGTGCATCTAAGTTTTGTAAAATTGAGTGAGGAGCTCATCTGCCATCGGTGCGCTGACCCATAGGGGATGACGTATTGAGAGTTGGCTAAAGCTTTGTAAAGCTTAGGAGGGAACGCAACCACTGAGGCGATGACCCACAGAGGACTTCGCGTCAGGTGCATCTAAGCTTTGTAAAGCTGAGGATTTCGATCTGAGGCGAACATTTCTAACGTCAAATGATTTGACAGCTGTCGCGTATTTCCAAGGCGACAGTTGGGTTCAATGCCCATTCCCAAAAAAGGCTGCTGGGTTACTTATTGTAGACGACTGATGGTAATTGAGGCGACACGTTTTATGCGAGCGTGAGGGTCATAGCTAGATCTTGGGCATAGATCAAATCTGGCATTTCATATCAACGACTTAGATTTATGATGCGATGGACGGCCTAGATTGATTGCATTTGAATTCAACGGTGGAGATCAGCTGGGATGCTCTATAAAAGGCGGACTTGAGCATTTTGGGAGTTTTTCACTTTTGCGAAATCAGAAAATCCATTTTCTCTCAAGATTCTTACGTTTTCCGGCGTTGTACAAGCGTTTTTCTACGACATTTCCAGTTTTCGACGATATCACATTGTGTGTTGATCTTTTTCGACTGTAGGTCCCCCAGTTTCTTAAGTTTCAGTAAGTATTTTCCCAAGTTTTTTCACATTTCTCTATTCTGCAATGGCTTCGGATAGTAGTGAGGCTTCGAAAAGAGATTTAGAGATGGTGAGGGTGGACGAGCCTATTTTGGCGACGCCCAGCGAGGTTGCCGAGGCGATATTGGGGGAAAAATATTTGGAAAAGACCTGACAGCCCGGTAGATACATCAGAACACTGGGGGGCTTCAGATTACCCATCGAAATTGAAAGAGGCCGATCTGGGTAGACTTAGGGCTGAATATAGGATACCTGATAGTGTAGAACTGATATTACCGGAGCCTGATGAGAGGGTCTGCTATCCTAGGTGGGTTGTGTGGCCGTGAGTGAGGCACTTTTTAGGACTGGACTTAGGCTCCCCCTCCATCCCTTCTTTAGGCTAGTGCTGAGGTCGTATGGGTTAGCCCCAACCCAGCTGAACCCAAACTCTTGGAGCCAAATGGTGGGATCCTGGATATTATGGAAGGAGGCATTGCTCGGGGTGGAGATGCCCTTCTTGATTTTTCAGAACCTATACATCCCTAAGGTAGTAGCTGGGGGGGACAAGACTAGGGGGTGGCATTATCTGACTTCATGGGGTTCCCATATTCCATTCATGCTCGATTTGGCCGAGCTCCATTAATGAATGGAAGAGATAGTGGTACTGGGCGGCCGGGAGATGGGACACAATGGAGGGGGACCCCGTGGCGCCTCTTACGGTCCCCACAAAGTATTCCACACTTAGTAAGTACTGTTGCTTTACATTTTTGTTTATTCTTCTTCGATTCGGATCGTAACTACTCTTTGTTTTCTTTTTGAAAGCACCATTCCTCGGTCTGAGATATCTACCGACGACTTTGACATAATCTGCATCGTTTACCAACTGTCCCCGAAGAAGAGGTCATACCATGAGCTGATCAAGAATAATATTCATTTCGTAACACATGACCTGATGGCTTCCCAAGGTAGATTTACGGAGTGGCCATGTCGCGTGGGTTTTCCGAACTCTTCATACTTGTAATAATTTGCTTGTTTCCTTGCAGATAACTTCAACAAGAAGATGACTCTGAGGCCCAATTTCAAGACAATTCAGAAAATGATGGCCGAGGTAAGAGCCTTGAAGACCTCCTCATCTGCCTACAAGAAGCGGATGGAGGATCTGGTTGATGCCAATAAGAGGCTTCAGCCTCTAGCGGATGAGGAGGTTGAAGAAGAACATGAGGCGAATCTACTGAGGAAGGGCAAAAAGGTTGTGGGCTCTTCAAAGGGGCCCATCGTGGTGAGGCCAATCCTAGCCCTGAGGCAGACAACAATTCCAACCGGGGTGGCCCTAAGGGAGAAGGTTGCTCAACCCTCCGTAGCTGTCCCTACCACCTCTGCTGCCCCCCGGCTGAAACTCTATTTTCAACCATTCCAAAAGCTCAAGTGTCGGGGCAGCTGAGGAGAAAAAGGACCCACCCAAAAAGGAGGTAGACTTTTTGGGCGTGAACACTGAGGAGCTCGTGAAAGAAGTGCTGGAGGCTCTACCTCCCGAGACGGCAGCGGTGGTAGTGGTCCATAACAAGTACTGGACTGAGGAGTGGAAGGACCACACTTTCTCGTGCACTGTCGAAGATCTCGTAGCGGCCAACAGTGCATGCATAGCCAGGGCCCTCAGCACAAGTGTTCAGCTAGAGGGTCTAATCAAAGATCTGAGGGCCAAAAATACTGACCTGGTCAAGCGCCTCAAGAAGGTAATGCAATACAGAGATGAAGTTCGGGCCACCCGGGAGAAGGCCTCTGAGGCAGAGTTGGCAAAGCAGGAGGGAGGGGGCCAATGCTGATTTTGAGAGGCTGAAGAAGGAGCTACACGAAACTAAGTGTCAGGTGGCTGCTCTGACAAGGCGAATTGATCATGCCAACGAGCACCACCGCCTGGCTACTTCAGCTCTAGAGGCATCCAACAAGGAAAAGGCTAAGCTGAAGCAGCGGGTTGAGGCCCAGGCTGAAGAGATTGCTTCATTGAAGGGAGAGTTGAAGTCTACAGGGGAGGTGGCTATGCAGAACTTTATTGATCATTTTGAGGAGCACCCCCTATACAATGACTTCGCCAACTACTGGGCCTCTTGGAGTGCCCAAGGACTGTTGGGTCGGTTGAAGGAGGTCCACCCGACATTGGACATATCCTCTTTGGAGACAGAGTTCAGTGGGCCTACTGGAAGCCGACCTAACAGGCCTGCCGAGGAAGCTTCAGAGGCCCTAGAGGAAGTTGAACCGGAGGCTGGGGTGGAAGACGTTGCCCGAGTAGAATAGGGTTACTTTTGTAATGGCTTCGGCCTTTCTTTTGTAACTCAATTTGAAATGAATGGAATGAAATTTTTTCTTTTAAGTATTATTGCTTCTTCCTTTTCCTTATGTTGAATTGTCTATACTTGAGTAAATGAATGATAAGTACTTAAGTAAACATTAAGCACCACTTACCAATAACCAGTCAATAAAAGAAGATCATACTAATAACATATTGAAGAACTGAGGTAACAATTCATTAATCGATGTGACATAAAGAACTGAAGTATCATTA